ATACATACACACACATGGAGCTGTTAAGTAAAAGTAATAATGTTCTGATAATTAATTAAACTTAATTTATTTCTTTCTCTCTCTCACTCACACACTCACTCACTCTCTCTCTCTCCCTCTTTCTTTCTCTGTATCTCTGTCTGTCTGTCTGTCTCTCCCTCACTGTTGGTCACTCCTCCCCTCCACCGCCTCTCTCCCTAACTGTTGGTCACTCCTCCCCTCCACCGCCTCTCTCCCTAACTGTTGGTCACTCCTCCCCTCCACCACTTCTCTCCCTCACTGTTGGTCACTCCTCCCCTCCACCACTTCTCTCCCTCACTGTTGGTCATTCCTCTCCTCCACCACTTCTCTCCCTCACTGTTGGTCACTCCTCCCCTCCACCACTTCTCTCCCTCACTGTTGGTCATTCCTCCCCTCCACCACTTCTCTCCCTCACTGTTGGTCACTCCTCCCCTCCACCACTTCTCTCCCTCACTGTTGGTCACTCCTCCCCTCCACCGCCTCTCTCCCTCACTGCTGGTCACTCCTCCCCTCCACCGCCTCTCTCCCTCACTGTTCGTCACTCCTCCCCTCCACCACTTCTCTCCCTCACTGTTGGTCACTTCTCCCCTCCACCGCCTCTCTCCCTCACTGCTGGTCACTCCTCCCCTCCACCACTTCTCTCCCTCACTGTTGGTCACTCCTCCCCTCCACCACTTCTCTCCCTCACTGTTGGTCACTCCTCCCCTCCACCACTTCTCTCCCTCACTGTTGGTCACTCCTCCCCTCCACCACTTCTCTCCCTCACTGTTGGTCACTCCTCCCCTCCACCACTTCTCTCCCTCACTGTTGGTCACTCCTCCCCTCCACCACTTCTCTCCCTCACTGTTGGTCACTCCTCCCCTCCACCACTTCTCTCCCTCACTATTGGTCACTCTTCCCCTCCACCACTTCTCTCCCTCACTGTTGGTCACTCCTCCCCTCCACCACTTCTCTCCCTCACTATTGGTCACTCTTCCCCTCCACCACTTCTCTCCCTCACTGTTGGTCACTCCTCCCCTCCACCACTTCTCTCCCTCACTGTTGGTCACTCCTCCCCTCCACCACTTCTCTCCCTCACTGTTGTCACTCCTCCCCTCCACCACTTCTCTCCCTCACTGTTGGTCACTCCTCCCCTCCACCACTTCTCTCCTTCACTGTTGGTCACTCCTCCCCTCCACCACTTCTCTCCCTCACTGTTGGTCACTCCTCCCCTCCACCACTTCTCTCCCTCACTGTTGGTCACTCCTCCCCTCCACCACTTCTCTCCCTCACTATTGGTCACTCTTCCCCTCCACCACTTCTCTCCCTCACTGTTGGTCACTCCTCCCCTCCACCACTTCTCTCCCTCACTATTGGTCACTCTTCCCCTCCACCACTTCTCTCCCTCACTGTTGGTCACTCCTCCCCTCCACCACTTCTCTCCCTCACTGTTGGTCACTCCTCCCCTCCACTGCCTCTCTCCCTCACCCACACGACCTTGCTCCGTCTCCTGAATCCGTTAACCTACTTTTACCTGAGGACCAGTTACTGGGAGGAGGAGGAGGAGGAGGAGGAGGAGTAACAGGAGGAGGAGGAGTAACAGTAGGAGGAGGAGTAACAGGAGGAGGAGGAGTAACAGGAGGAGGAGGATGAGTAACAGGAGGAGGAGTAACAGGAGGAGGAGCAGGAGGAGGAGTAACAGGAGGAGGAGTAACAGGAGGAGGAGCAGGAGGAGGAGTAACAGGAGGAGGAGTAACAGGAGGAGGAGCAGGAGGAGGAGTAACAGGAGGAGGAGTAACAGGAGGAGGAGCAGGAGGAGGAGTAACAGGAGGAGGAGTAACAGGAGGAGGAGCAGGAGGAGGAGTAACAGGAGGAGGAGTAACAGGAGGAGGAGTAACAGGAGGAGGAGCAGGAGGAGGAGTAACAGGAGGAGGAGTAACAGGAGGAGGAGCAGGAGGAGGAGTAACAAGAGGAGGAGGAAGAGGACGATTAAGAAGAAACACAAGCACAACATGAATCAAAACTTTTGTCAGTCATTATTACAAGTTTTTAAGCTTTGGCTTTTATTTATTCTCTCTCTCTCTCTCTCTCTCTCTTCTCCTCTCTCTCTCTCTCTCTCTCTCTCTCTCTCTCTCTCTCTCTCTCCTCTCCTCTCTTCTCTCTCTCTCTCTCTCTCTCTCTCTCTCTCTCTCTCTCTCTCTCTCTCTCTCTCTCTCTCTCTCTCTCTCTCTCTCTCTCTCTCTCTCTCTCTCTCTCTCTCTCTCTCTCTCTCTCTCTCTCTCTCTCTCTCTCTCTTCCATTTACAGTTTAAACAGGAGAACCAACGAACAACGGAGCTGGAAGGAGAGACTCTTATACACTTTAATGTTTAACTTTATTTACAACGTTTCGCTCACACAGCGGACTTGAAAAAGTTCACCATGTGGGCGAAAAGTTGTCAATAAAAGATCGCATTAAGCTGCATTTGTGTCCGTATTTCCATCGTGAAGCCATTGTGATAATAATCTTAACAGAGGTACTTGTCCTGCAGCTGGCTCAGCTGCTACAGCTGGCTCAGCTGCTACAGCTGGCTCAGCTGCTACAGCTGGCTCAGATGCTGCAGTTGGCTCAGATGCTACATCTGAATCAGCTGCTGTAGCAGATGCAGCATCTTACGTAATTATCGTGTCGTAGTGGTCGTTACGTGACACAAAAATAATACACACACACACACACACACACACACACAACACACACACACACACACACACACACACACACACACACACACATATATATATATATATATATATATATATATATATATATATATATATATATATATATATATATATGTATATATATATATATATATATATATATATATATATATATATATATATATATATATATATATATATATATATATATATATATATATATATATATAATATATATATATATATATATATATATTATATATATATATATATATATATATATATATATATATATATATATATATATATATATATATATATATATATATATATATTAATTAGTAAGTAGGGAAGCAGATACGGTTTGATCAAATAATTATATTAAACTCTCCAATAACACTAACTCACGTCTCTGACAATTCTATAAAATCATTTCTCGTCAAAATATTTATTTGTAGAACAAAGTTCTATAATAAATCGGCCTCAATTAGTTGTCCTATTAAAGTTATTGAATTGGTTCAGTTTCACAGTACAGTCATGGGTATATACACTGATTGGTGTATATACTGAGAGATATTTATCTCTTGGTGTATACACATTGACATAAACTTCTCTCGGTGTATATATATAATTGTGATACAGACACCTATCAGTGTATATACTCTGATAGACACCTCTCCGTGTATGTACACAGATGGATATACACATATGTATATCTCGGCGTAAATACATACAATTCGTATTTTACGTATTAAAATATTCTTGAATGGTGGTAATCATGAGATACGAAGTCAATAACATATTAACCTAATCACTCAACTAATCCAGTTCAATTAGCACAATCTATTTCATTTACATCCTTCTCGTTAAGCCAGTTCGAGAAACGTCATAAAAACGCACAGGAATAACAGTGTTGGTATAGATGCGTGTACTTTGATTTCGAAGCGATACCGTAAGAAATTTCCTGGTTGGATAATCTTGATATGAGGAAATAATAATTTAAGTGAAAAGGGTCTTGGAATCAAAGCTAATTAGCTTTGATTATCCAGACATAATTTAGCCCTTACGGATTTAGGGCCTCTACAAGAATATAATATTATCAAATAAACTACAACGTAGAATATATATGTATATATATATATATAATATATATATATATATATATATATAAAATATATATATATATATATATATATATATTATATATATATATATATATATATATATATATATATATATATATATATATATATATATATATATATATATATATATATATATATATATATGCAATAAGATCACAGTAAACAGGTGATTTCAGAATATGCAAAATAACCACTCTGAAAAAATAGAGAAATTCCAAGCGCTTTCGTGACTACTCACATCATCAAGGAACTATGATGATGTGAGTAGTCACGAAAGCGCTTGGAATTTCTCTATTTTTTCAGAGTGGTTATTTTGCATATATATATATATATATATATATATATATATATATATATATATATATATATATATATATATATATATATATATATATATATATTTATCTCTGTGGGCGTCGGAGTGAACAAGAGTGTTCGGTGTAGATGAAGACTGTACTGGAGTGTCGTAGATGAGCTAGTTGTAGGAATCTTACCTTAATCCTACCTATCTATTATTTTTCTATATAATTTTTAGATTGCCTCTTTGTAGCATGGCTGACCTATTTTTTACCTAACATCTATTAAATTCTATTTAGCATCTTCCTTCTAAAAGAGACAAGCGTGTGCTTTTGATTCTAATTTACATTTCAACTTTTACTGGAGCTGTTGCTTTTTGTTTTTCTAGATCAAGTTTTAAGCGTTATGCTTTGCACACGTTTAAACGTTATATAAAATTAAAAATCTTAAACTATTAAAAATCTAATGAAATTTTCAATTTTCTTGCTAGATTTAAATTATTTTTTTTTGGCTAGAATGCATTAATTTAGAGCCAAATTTCTAATATTATTGATTTTAAAGAAACTAGGCCAATATTGTCCTATTGAGACAAACAGTAAAAAAAATTGTATGTCAAAAAATCAAATTTTTAAAGTATAATGATCTAAATTCTTGGATAAGTTTCATGACAAGTAAATGATGGATAGATAGAGATCACTTGGACGGGAAGGTAAACACAGGTGACTAAAAATATATGAATTTCGACTTCAGAGAGACCTGTGTTTATTTTCCTCTTGATCCGAGTAGTTTCTGACCATCCATTAATGTTTTAGAGACTAGCTAAGTGCGTATAGTGACGCTCGTTCTCTCGTCATTCCAGTACGCAACCCGTCGCCCAAAGAGATAATTGCCCAGCTGCTGCTACGACGGGCACACAAGGGCAACACAACACCTGCCCCAGCCTTCAGGCACTCCAACACCCAGGACGACGGTGGAGGAGATGGAGGTGGAGGTGGTAGTGATGGTGGTGGTGGAGGTGGGAAAGTAGGTGGTGTTGGTGGAGGCAACGGCGGTGTTGGAAATGGTGGTAGTAGTAGCAGTAGCAGTAGTAGTGGTAGTGGTGGCAGTAACGGGGGAAGTGAGCTGGTGGTCGCAAATTTGCAACGTGTAGAAGAGTATGAGAAATTCCTCCCTTCAACACAAGGTTGTCAATATTTCGTTTTTGTTTACGCTTTTGTTTGCAAGTTGACCAATGTTTGTTGTTTCAGAGCCTTTTAATGTTTTCACTTTTGTTTTTGTGTTGTTTATGCCTAATATGTCTTGCATAAATGAGAGATTTTCTAAATAATTGATTTTTAATATAAAAAATCATCGTGTAAGTTGTATCTTATTGATAAAATTTATTATTTTTGACTTCCTGCAACCACTTATAGGTGAGTACACACACAAACACACACACACACACACACACACACACACACACACACACACACACACACACACACAAACACACACACACACACACACACACACACAAACACACACACACACACGCCAAAAAAAAAGTAGCATACCCCCCAAAAAATTATACTCAACAAATTTTTGAAAAATCTTAAAATTCGAAAAATCTTTAGCATTTGTTGAAGGAAAAGTGTGAGCTGCCGCCCATCCATCATTAGCTCAGTTCCTCCCCATTTACTCCCCAAACGCATCTTCTCCCATTCACTCCTCTCCCTCCATTTCTAATTCCAACTTTATTGTGTCTTCCTTCCCTCCCATCCTTCCTCTCTTCCTACTCTCTCTTTTTTTTTATATATTCTTCCACTAAAAATAGATGCAAATGCAGACACAAAAGAGACGCAAAATAGTCACAAAAGAGACATAAATGGAGACAGAAAAGGGACACTGCTTGGGCGAAACATTGTCAATAAAACATCGCATTTTACTACAGTTATCTCTCATTGTCCAAAAATTAAGAGAAAAGCTTTCCAGATTTGTAAATTTTGATAATTTTTTTTTCATATTTAACATAAACAAATTAGTGGAATATTGCTATCTCTCTGTCTCTAGCATTATCTGTCTCTAGCATTATCTGTCTCTAGCATTATCTGTCTCTAGCATTATCTGTCTCTAGCATTATCTGTCTCTAGCATTATCTGTCTCTAGCATTATCTGTCTCTAGCATTATCTGTCTCTAGCATTATCTGTCTCTAGCATTATCTGTCTCTAGCATTATCTGTCTCTAGCATTATCTGTCTCTAGCATTATCTGTCTCTAGCATTATCTGTCTCTAGCATTATCTGTCTCTAGCATTATCTGTCTCTAGCATTATCTGTCACTAGCATTATCTGTCTCTAGCATTATCTGTCTCTAGCATTATCTGTCTCTAGCATTATCTGTCTCTAGCAGTATCTGTCTCTAGCATTATCTGTCTCTAGCATTATCTGTCTCTAGCATTATCTGTCTCTAGCATTATCTGTCTCTAGCATTATCTGTCTCTAGCATTATCTGTCTCTAGCATTATCTGTCTCTAGCATTATCTGTCTCTAGCATTATCTGTCTCTAGCATTATCTGTCTCTAGCATTATCTGTCTCTAGCATTATCTGTCTCTAGCATTATCTGTCACTAGCATTATCTGTCTCTAGCATTATCTGTCTCTAGCATTATCTGTCTCTAGCATTATCTGTCTCTAGCAGTATCTGTCTCTAGCATTATCTGTCTCTAGCATTATCTGTCTCTAGCATTATCTGTCTCTAGCATTATCTGTCTCTAGCATTATCTGTCTCTAGCATTATCTGTCTCTAGCATTATCTGTCTCTAGCATTATCTGTCTCTAGCATTATCTGACTCTAGCATTATCTGTCTCTAGCATTATCTGTCTCTAGCATTATCTGTCTCTAGCATTATCTGTCTCTAGCATTATCTGTCACTAGCATTATCTGTCTCTAGCATTATCTGTCTCTAGCATTATCTGTCTCTAGCATTATCTGTCTCTAGCATTCTCTGTCTCTAGCATTATCTGTCTCTAGCATTATCTGTCTCTAGCATTATCTGTCTCTAGCATTATCTGTCTCTACCATTATCTGTCTCTAGCATTATCTGTCTCTAGCATTATCTGTCACTAGCATTATCTGTCTCTAGCATTATCTGTCTCTAGCATTCTCTGTCTCTAGCATTATCTGTCTCTAGCATTCTCTGTCTCTAGCATTCTCCCTTCCCACCTCCTTCCCTCCCACCCTCTCCTCTCCCTCCCTTTCTCCCTCCTCTCTTTACATGCTTCCTTCTTTGCCTCTTTCTTTCCCCTGTTTCTGAGCCACTGTCTCTCCCTCCTTATCTCTCTTCCTCCCGCCTCTCTTCCTCATCTTCCCACTCCATCCTTACTCTTCTTCCTTCCTTCACTTCTTTCCTCGTTTGTCATTCAGTTTTCCCTGAAGTCTCCTGGGAAATTATATCTAAAATAGAACGGCTAAGGTATGCTCTATCTGCCGTCACAGAGAGAGAGAAAGAGACAGAGAGACAGAGACAGGGAGACAGAGACAGAGAGACAGACAGAAAGACAGACAGAGATAGAAAGAGACAGACAGAGACAGAGAGACAGACAGAGAGACAGACAGAGACAGACAGAGACAGACAGAGACAGACAGAGTCGATCAAACAGCAAAACAACAAATTCAACCTCAATTCTCGAGGATTTTAGTGTCTGATTATAAGAAGAACGAGTTATAGCCAATATGAAGAGGAAATTATCATAAACAACAACAACAACAACAACAATAACACCACCACCACCACCACCACCACCAACAACAACAACAACAACAACAACAACAACAACAACAACAACAATAATAATAATAATAATAATAATAATTGAGTACTGTTTATTGCAGTTTCAATACTACAAATGCTGAAACTCAAGACAGTTTAGAAAGCTTATGTGTTTCCTCTTTACAAACACCAAGAGATATTGATCTTAAAAAATTGACTCGTCTTAAAGAAAGAACAATTACTTAATGTATTAATAGCCACATTTGTGTTAATTAATATTCAATGCATTAGTTATTTTTTGCACTAAAACTAACCACCTAACTTAATTTTGGTCATTGATGGGAATATAACTATCATAGCTAGTTAAGCCTCGGAAAGGGTGGGGTTCGAACCCATGGTAATTGAACCTTAAAACTCACTAGGTTCAAATCCTCACCCGTTCCGTGTCTTCTTTACAATACTGTTGTTACGAATTCGTGAATTATCATAGGTCGATTGAGTTAATATTGTCAATTTAACATGACAATCTAGTGATGTTTAGACTGATTTTTATGAAGGAGAAACGTAAACAAGCATTTGAATGTGGCGTTCCCAAAGGAAACTAGAAAAAACAATAGAAAGTCAGAGAGAAAGAGTGTGTCAACGAGTTCTGGACACCATAGACAACACCAAAAAAAGTAGAGAAACAACTACTGGGTGAATTGGATACCTCGAAGACCATGGATCCTGACAAGATCTCACCATTGGTTCTGAAGGACTGTGTGCTTCACAGTTCTCTCCGGCTGAGAAATGAAAGAAAGCGAACGTATTACAGAGCAATAAGGCACAATACCGTGACTGGAACAATACACCGTGACTTCGTAAATGGTCCAAGTCGAACCGAAACGTCGTCGTAAGCTCTTCTCTCTTATGTACTCTCAGTATTATTGTAGTTAAAGGCTTAAAAAACGCACCAACAGATGAATAAGTCACATGAGCACTTGCTGCTAGAGTGAAGACACCTGGTTGTCCTCACTTTGGTAACGTATTGTCAACCAGGAGCTTCATGGATCCATAACAGAGAAAAACAGTAGGTGATGTGATGAGGGACTTTTATTAAGGTTGAGGGACTGAGCACATCATCTCTAGATTAAGGGGATATAATTACCTTACACTGTCTTCACATCTACCATTTCCCTCTGAAATGAACTGATAAAGCCGCTGGTGGACGAAACGTCTCCTCAATGAGACTATAGCACATGCTCAACATGTGCTATAGTCTCAGTATTTAAGAAATGGGATAGACAGGAAGGCCTATACTATAAATGGATATCTGTTATGTATATGATATAGGGTCATGGAGAAGATAATCCAGACAGTGCTGGAGCACCTGGAGGTCAGGTTAGGGTTGTCAGGAAACAGGACAAGTGTTTCCTAACGCAGGTCTTAGTCATATGATGACCCACAGCTGGAGCTTTTGGTCATCTGACCGAGGCCTTCCACTGGCTTACTTCTCCACCCCTTTCAAATTTATGGTTATGATTATAACCATCTAGTAATGAATCTGCAGCACCTGAAGAGAAGTGGCCATACAAACAATGACAGGTACTGGTTAAGATATGGTAAATCCTGTCTCACTTACCTGCTGTAGATTTATACCTGGATAACAGAATGACGTAGGAGAGAGGCGCGTAGATTGTATATTCTACAGGTGTAAGAGGGCGTCTGACACTCCTTCAAAAAAGACTAGGAGGAAAAAATTAAGGAACAAGCGAGGATAACTGGGAAGAAATTACAGTCTCGCTTCAGTTTTTTTCTTCCCATGTACGCCACGTAACACTATTGTTATGAAGACTGCAGAGGCGTTATTGTTCTTCTGTTCTTTTGTTAGTAACGTGTTAGTGTGTTATTTTGTGAGTAATTGTATTGTACGTTATTTTTGGGATCGTTGTTGTGATTTGTGTACCTTTTTTGTCTCGTTGTAAAATATAGTGAAAGTGATTTTTTTTTTTATAGTTGAGTTATTCTTGGTCTGTTGTTTGATGTCTGTGTTTGATATTTTTTTTATGTTTTCTTACCTGTTTTTTCTATGTTATTTCTGTTTTTTTATGTCTTTAATTGTATCTTTTTCTGTTATGCCTGTGACTGTTGTTTGAGCCTCTCTCTCTCTCTCTCTCTCTCTCTCTCTCTCTCTCTCTCTTCTCCTCTCTCTCTCTCTCTCTCTCCTCTTCTCTCTCTCTCTCTCTCTCTCTCTCTCTCTCTCTCTCCTCTCTCTCTCTCTCTCTTCTCTCACCTTACATTCTCCTTACGCAAGCATGACCTCACCTCATCTCACCTGCCCTGCCTCACCCATCCCTCCACACACCCTGCCTCACCTCTCTCACACACCCTGCCTCACCCATCCCTCCACACACCCTGCCTCACCTCTCTCACATACCCTGCCTCACCTCTCTCAC